ATTCATTTCTCCTTCTTTCTACCATCTTTGAAAAGCTCAAATTGAAAATTCAGGCATTTTTCAAATTTCTATTTCCTGCTTTAGCTTGTCTTCCTTTTAAATGTTTCCAATCTTGATGGTGTTCTGCACTGTGGATCTCAATTTTATATAAAGCACTCTTTATTCAGTATATTGTAATTCCCCCAGGATAGGCCCACCATGTAGTAGGGGTCTGAATGATCTGTCAAGGTAGCATGGCTGCTTGATACAGGACCATTTGCCTGTAAACATAAAACAGTGGGTGGAATCTTCCTACATTTTGGTTGTTTCAGTTTCAGCAAGTTTCATGAAGGGCTAATGTCAGATCTAATGAGTTATTTCGCTCAACATTCCTAAACTCACCTCATTAACTACCTACCATGTCTCTGTGATAGTCTTCTCATCTGATACAAGCTTGATTCTCCCACTTCTCAAAGCTTGGCGTTCTCACCAATGCTGGGATATCCCAGGGTTCTGGATGCTGGCACCATCTTTAAAAATGTTGTAGTGTACCTAGTTAAGAGCTGGCAGTCTTTTCTGACACTTGGTCCAGAGATGGTAGATAAGGGAAAATTGCTACCCACTCCAATTTTGCAGTTGGAACCTAGAAGTCCTGGTGGATGGGGTGGTATAGAGGAGACTATGAAACCAGAACTGGCCAGCCTGGTCCAAGCTCTGGGGGCTTTATACTAACTCAGGGAGCCACCTGAGTTAGTACAGAGTCAACCATCCAGAAGAATTCATAGAAATGCTACAGAAAGGTCATGGACATTCTTCACCCTGCCAGTGAAAGTGCCACCACCTTCTCTCTACCATTTCACACTCACTCTGTCTCTGCTGCTGCACCCAGCTCTCACCAAGGCTTTAGCTCTCTCACTATTGCCCGCAAGATCATCCCCCTCACTCTCACCCACCCAACTCCCCCAGACATCTAACTGCAATGTCTTGGCATCTCCTACTCACTCATTCGGGACATTGAATGTTCAATGCACAGAAATGTGAAATGATTCTCATTGGTAGGAAGAATCTACAAAGACAATACAAAATAAGGGGTAAAATTCTAAAGAGTGTGCAGGAGCAGAGAGACCTTTTATATCTGTATGTCATTAAACATTGAAGCAGAGATTGAGTGAGTGATTAATAAAGAATACAGTATCCAAGGCTTTGTTAAATTTGATATCCGTGGAGTACAAAAGCAAGGAAGTTACATTGAACTTGTGCAAGGCACTAGCTTGGACTTAGCTTGTGTACAATGTTCGCTTCTGGTGCTACACCTTAAGATGAATGTCATTGTATTGGTGACGGTGCAGAAGAGATTCATGAGAATGGTTCCAGGGGATAAGGAACTTCACTTCTGAGGGTAGACTGAAAACGTTAGGACTGTTTCCCCTGGAGAAGAGAAGACTGAGGGGAAATCTGAATGAATTATTCAAAATAATAAGGCAAAATAACTTAGCAAAAGAAGCAAAAGAGATGTGATTAAAAGTGTTTCCATGCACTGGTTGTGAGTGTGGTGGAGGCAAGTTCAACTGATGGATTCAGTCAGGAATTAGACTGTTACTTGAAAAGGAACAATGTATTCAGGAAGAACACAGAATGACACAAATTGAGATGTTTATCTGAAGGACTGTTGCAGCCACGATAGGCCTTGCTCTGTGCTGTAATAATTTGGTGATATCATGAGAAAGGAAGGAACACACCAACCTGGTAGATGCCCTCAAGTGGCACCAAGGTGTCACCTCTTTGGAGGATCTGACCAGGGCACATGGAAGATTAGCCCAGCTCAGTAGATTACTGGCCCAGTAAAATTCTATTTTGTGATCGTCCCCCTGCTGTGCATAATTAAATGGACCCTCGCTCCTTGCTCAGAGATAAATAATAGATAACAGGGTCAGGATTTCCACCTTGATTACTATTAATATTCTTGGAAATTTCATCTGTTTATGGGTGTCCAGCCTGCCCCAAAATCAAATCCCAATATCCAATGGATAGGGGACAGACAGATAACTGGTGCATTTGTCTCCTGCACTCTCCTTTCTTTGTGCCCGGGCACCAATTGCCCCAGTTGGTAGGAGGTGCCCCTCAGTATCCTGCTCCCTGCCTATAAATTCAGTACAAACCTGTGCTTCAGCCTATCTGAGCAATCTAGTGATCCCTTTCAGCTTTCCACAATCCAGCAAATGGAAGAGGTTGAAGCATATGCACTGTATCCATCCGAGTTACTTTGGAGCCTATCTACTGTAAGCCCCCAAAGCTCCAAAATTGCAGAAAACTAACGGAAAGATGCACTTTTGCCCATTTTGCCTTGGTATTGCTCCATTTCAGATAGGATGGCGGCAATAACAAGTCACCAGTTAGTTGCCTTACTCTCTGATTTTCTTCTTCCTTGGCTTACTATCAACCATCCCTTTGTCTGCCCAACTTTCTTTCTGTCTCCATCTGGCAACTCACTCCTTTTCCCCTCCATCCCCTGACATCAGTATGAATACCACCTTTTCCTAGCTACTAATAGCCCTGAAGAAGGGTCACTGGACTGGAAAGGTTGGCTCTGCTTTCTCTCAACAGATGGTGCCAGACCTGTGATAACAAGGTGTAGAGCTGGATGAACACAGCAGGCCAAGCAGCATCAGAGGAGCAGGAAAGCTGATGTTTCAGGTCTGGACCCTTCTTTAGAAATGGGGGAAGGGAAGGGGGAGGCGGGTAGAAGATGGATAAAGGAGAAGATAGGTGGAGAGGAGACAGACAGGTCAAAGAGGTGGGGGTGGAGCCAGTAAAGGTGAGTATAGGTGGGGAGTTAGGGAGGAGATAGGTCAGTCCAGGGAGGACAGACAGGTCAAGGGGGCGGGATGAGGCTAGTAGGTAGGAGATGGGGGTGGGGCTTGAGGTGGGAGGAGTGGATAGGTGGGAGGAAGGACAGGTTAGGGAGGCGGGGACAGTCTGGGCTGGTTTTGGGATGCGGTTGGGGGAGGGGAGATTTTGAAGCTTGTGAAGTCCACATTGATACCATTGGGCTGCAGGGTTCCCAAGCGAAATATGAGATGCTGTTCCTGCAATCTTTGGGTGGCATCGTTGTAGCACTGCAGGAGGCCTGGGATGGACATGTCGTCTAAGGAATGGGAGGGGGAGTTGAAATGGTTCGCGACTGGGAGGTGCAGTTGTTTGTTGCGAACTGAGCGTAGGTGTTCCACAAAGCGATCCACAAGCCTCTGCTTGGTTTCCCCGATGTAGAGGAGACCACATCTGGAACGGCGGGTACAGTAAACCACATTAGCAGATATGCAGGTGAACATCTGCTTGATGTGGAAGGTCTTCTTGGGGCTTGGGCTGGGGGTGAGGGGGGAGGGGTAGGGGCAGGTGTAACACTTCCTCCGGTTGCAGGGAAAAGTGCCGGGTGTGGTGGGGCTGGAGGGGAGTGTGGAGCGGACAAGGGAATCACGGAGAGAGTGGTCCCTCCGGAAAGCAGATAAGGGTGGGGAGGGAAAAATGTCTTTGATGGTGGGGTCGGATTGCAGATGGCGGAAGTGTCGGAGGATGATGCGTTGGATCCGGAGGTTGGTGGGGTGTTATGTGAGGACGAGGCTATCGGTGCCAGACCTGCTGTGTTTTTTATAGCAATTTCTGTTTTTGTCTCTTCCTGCAGTGCCCCTGACACCATTTGTTATTTAAATCTGAGTCTAAACTGCCCTCAATGCAGATGTTCTGCTGCCTGGATATTGTGCTACAGTTGTCTGTCCTGTACCCACACACACACAAATTCCATTCCTAGAAGGACTGGTCTCCCAATCTCAGATTGGGCTATTTGAAAGGCTGCCTCCTTACAACCTACAGTGAGTTTAGTGTCTTTCAGTGTCAAATTACAGCCAGCTTTTCTATGTTCTATATCCCATGCCTGTTAGAATCAAGAGCTCTCACACTCATTTTTCTTGCAGCGAAGATCAAATGCAACATCCTAAAGTGAAAGGACAGTGTCCATTCCACTATAGCACTGAGTTTCTACACAATTTTAAAAACCCATAAAAATACAGAAATGCATCAGCCCACAACTGTTGCAGAGTTATTTTCTCGAGCAGAGCCAAAATTCTTTGCATTATGAAGGCAGTTGCACTGTCATAAAATAGGCTAAGTTCTTGGAAGAGCACTTTTCCTTTTTGTACTTAGCCTCTGGCCTCTAACCTTTGCTCCAGAGCTGACAGACTCAGATTTGGGAACAATGTTGTTAAGTGTGCAAATAAGGTGTCTGTGGAACTACCCTTACTTGTGAGCATGTGAATATATTTAATGAAGAAAAATACCATTAGCCATCGTTCAACGGAAAAGGAGGGGGCAAACATATTCCAACTGCAGCCCTGAGACTGAGTCAAGGCTGTAAATGTGAAAAAGCAGTGGCTTGTAGCATTTAAGAAACAAGGATTTTGATCAGTGCTAAAAGCATGCTGGCAAACTATTGAGGATGCTTGAACATTTTCACAAACCTTTGCGTCTGATCCTGTAAAATGCAATAATAAAAACACATGTACACCTAACAGGGCCACAACATGTCACTTCTGAAAGAAATATTTGCAAGTCTGTGTAGCAAATGTGACAGCAGGAATCTGCTTGCTGTGCAGTTGGCACGATTCCAAGGCATTATTATGAACCTTACTTGTTCGACTCCATCAATGAGACTACTGGTACTGACTCATATATATTAGGAAGGTGTAGATTTGGGAGAATTTGAAATAATTACTCAATTAGTGACTCGCTTTTTTTTGAGGGACACTGCAATACCTTTGGTCAACCTTATGTGTTTTTTTGTGTAATTTCTACCAACCTTCTCCATTCGAATTAGAAGCTGCAGCTGAAAACTCTGTGAAGATTTTTTTTTTGAAAAGCAGTATTAGCATATTTTCCTCCACCAGGGTCTCTGTGCCCTCGGTTCCTGTAATTATTATTCATTAGGATCGGGTTTTGCCTGGTGTGCAGTTCATGTTGAATCAGCTGTACTGTAACGTTTTTGATAAGGGCAGGAATGCAGAGGTCAGAGTCATGTCTGTAATTAGGGCTTCGTAGTCAGATGCCATCTTCACTAATCTATAAATGGGGATTTAAAAAGAAAATGCATATTACTATTGTTGCCCACAAAGAAATCTGGGTGGTGAAAATTTTTTAAAAATGCAAAAGTTTAGCAAAATTAATGATGACGAAGGTGCCTGAACGACGAGATGGAAAGCCTGGAAAAAATGATATGTACTTTTGCTGCATGCACAGCGAAAAAAAACAGTGGCATATATATATATATATATATATATATAAAAGAAATTCCTGTTGAATATATCCCAAGAAGGACCATCACAAATTAAAATATTTATACCTTTTGCAAAGTGAGTGTGTGCCTTTTGGCTTCCGTTTTTGAGAAACATTTTACTTTAGAAAAATCCCAAAATACAACAAAAATCTGTAAGACAGTTTGATGTCTCCAGTGTGAGCGTTTTAGCTGTGATTTATGACATAACTGTATATGTACGTTTGACAGCTTTCAGATTGCTGCAAAGGCGGCGGAACTTTTAAGTGAGCTGGGCTATCTGGGAAAATCTATCAAGGGTCTACCCTGGGAGAACAAGGAGATAGACTTTGCATGGCGCTGCTGTGCAGCAAGGCCCGCATGCTGAGCACATCTTCAGTTCGCTGACAGTTGCGCTCAGACTTCACTGTATTAACGAATAAAAGGGAGCTCCCTGTAGATTACACATCTTCCATGTTTTGACATTGACCTTAATACATAATTTAACCACAAAGCCTGAAAAGTGTGTAACAAGATGAGAAGAGACCACAGAACCTGCAAACAGAGTGATGTTTAATCAGAAATCATATTTGTTCATGACTGCGGTGATATGGGCAAAAGAAAAATGTTGAAGGACAACAGCCTGTGAATTTTTTTTTATATATATATATAGTACATTAGAATTTACGCTTCTGGTAAAGTCTCCATACTAATACAAACTGAAGGAGTCCAAATCATCCAAGATTATCCAAACAAGATGCTTACGCTCAGACTCAGGGGGCTCTGCCAACACTACAATACAGCTGTGCACCACAGTGCAATACATTGAGTAATAGAAATATTGGTCTTTTAATTTTGCATTGTGCATAATTCTGATACGATTCTTAATATGGTAGTTAACCTCTGAACAACTGTCAATTCCAAATAAATTTCTATTAACCCTAGTGTTTTTCAAAAAGAACTAATTAATTGAGCAACCACAGAGAATTGTGGATACTGATGAATTTACAACTGAAAGAAACCTTTCACTCAGGGACAGAGACATCTATTAAAGATGGTTGGCCTGGGCTAAATAATCAGGATGTGGTGAAGGTTAAATAGCCTTCAATTTGTGCTCTTGTAGCCTTAGATATATAATTTAATTAAAATAAGCCAGAAAATTTTGGATCATATTTTCTTATCTCTACTTAATGAACAGGTTATGGCACTTTTTTATACTGGATATGTATGTTTGCAGGTTCTACAGTCCTTTAAGAGTTAATCATTCTTTCTTTGGTTATTCATGACCAACTGGCTAAATAGTCACTATGATCAATTGTAAAATGGGGCGATTGCATGTGTGGGAAGAAAGCCACCAATTATGTCGCACCTGCAATAATACTTCTTAAGAAGTTAACAAGCCACTGATCCAGTGATGAAACGTTTGTGAGTTCAGCTGCTGACATTGTTGAGAAATAGGTGACTGAAAAGCTGGTAACCTATTATCAGTAACTGTCATCTGTCCTTGTGCAGTTCGTGATGAAGAAATGTTTAAGCAGCAGAGAACAGCAAGATGTGGACACATTACAACAACAGCACAAACTTGCAATTATACAGTGAATTTAATGTTGTAAAATGCCCCAGGACATTGCATAGATCCAAGTATCAAACTAAATTGGATGCTGAGACATATGAGGAACAGTTAGATTTAAAATGAAGATGCTGGAAGTACTCAGAAGGTCCAGTTTTGATTACAGGGAGGGAAACAGAATTAATGGCTCAGATATTCATCCTCGGTCTGGATACTGGGAAAATTTCCCCTTTGGGTGGCTTTCCTTGGGGGCAAGTGTCCACAAGTATGGAATCTTTATTGTTAGCGGGGGGAGATGGCAAAAGCAACTGGGGCAACCAACCCTGGCAAGAATCTGGAGGCATCCACAGGACCTACCATGGGCTATGGCTTGTTGTTCAAAAGCAGGGGTTGAAGTATTTCAGGAGGCAAATGGATGTCTGTGCTGCTCATATATAATGAAGTTTGGCTGAGAGTCTGGACATCCATTTGTCTCTTGAAGCACCTGAGCCTCTGTTTACTTGAAATCTCTGCTACCAATTTCACAATGCTTCCTTACATTGGATTAAATGGTTTCAACTGTTCTGGAGTTTCAACTATTGAAACCTTAAAGGGTGATTAACACTTTATTTTGGTCTGAAGTAAGAAGGATTCTCGTTTAACACAGTGGAAAATTATCAATAAAAGACATTTTTAAAACCATTTTTTCACATATGCAACTTTCACTATAGGACTCATTGCTTCTAAACAGTGTATACCTTTTATTTTGGGGAATGAAGAGACATGTGTGTGGTAAGAGGGACATAGCTTGGCATGAAAGACATGAGGAGAACCTTTTGAACTTATCTTTCCAAAGGTTACTCTTATACAGACTATGGTTCACAACGGCTCTGATGTGCCATGGAATATGACTCTTTAAAAACATGGCCCGATTCCATGAGTCCATGTGGCGGAGTAAACCATTCCTTTCTCTGCAACAGACAGGCTGGGAGACCCAGGTGTGTACTCACGACCTGAACCAGCCCATGCTCGTAAAAAGCCCCTGTGAAAATTAGAATCAACAGCAATGGAGTTGGGAATTTCTAAAGTGCTCCTGAGTCTTCCCGACTCAGTGAACATCAAGGCTGATGTTTAAGGTTTGCTTCCTTGCATCAAAACTGGAAAAGTAGTTTTTAAGGTCGTGAAAAAGGCGGGTGGTAAGAGAGTGGATTGGAAGAAGAACTAAAGGGATGTCTGTGGTGAAGTGCGAGATAGATGAAATTTAATCACAACAGGATTCACAGTACAAGTTTAAAGGGAGTGGTATTGATTCAAGAAAAGAACAAGAAAATGTGTGTAGAGGAGGTGTGAACGGTGAGGTCCTGTTCAAATGTAATGGGGGGCCATTTTTGTCTCACTGCCAACCTGTACTTTGAGCATGAATAGGCTGGAAGTGAGACGTAATTAGACTAAATAACCTTACTGTTGCTCAATATTCCCCGTAAGAAGCCATGCAGTCACATTGAGGGTCCATGCATGCTGATTGGTGTGTCTATGCTCTTATCAGCATTGACTTTTGGTTCCTAGAGATAAATGTTGGCCATGGGTCTGGGAGGTCCATGCAGAAGAAAATGAAATTAGTGGGAATGTAATTGAAGTCTGTCCATTATTATTGGCCAGTGGGGCTCTGTGTAGGTAATGTTCACTCCCATGGAAAAGAGATAAGAAGTCCAGCACTTGATGTGAAGTCTACCATATTTATTGGACTCTCATTGTCATGAGTGAGGTACCTCCCTAGAGGTGATGCTCACAGAGTTTTCATGGTGGCACCTGGCCAGGCTCAGCACAAGTTAAAGGGATCGCTGGGAACGGATCTGGGAATACTGTTAATTATACAGCAGGCAGCTTTAAACCTGTGGGATTAACTAAATTATTCTCCATGCAAAGTACTCTGAATGCTTTTTTGCTATAACACACGCTTCCCCCCCACATAATTCCAGCACAGGTAGTCCCCAGGTTGCAAGCTTGTTCCATTCTTAAGTCAGTTTGCAAATCAATTTGTATGCAGTTGGAACACAATGCAGGACAATACAAGATATGTAAGTATGTGAACTGTTCATATGTTGGATCTTTAAAACAATACCCCTGTATGGAATCACATTCACAAGCACGAGTGTTCCTATGTCAGACATTTATAAACTGGGGACGGCCTGTATTTGAATATTTCCTTTCTGTCTTGGTAATCAGAGGTGAATGCAAAATTTGTGGTTTGACCTGACCAGAATTATTGTACAGTGTCGGCACCTTGGCCTCAGGTTTGAACTCTGCTAATCATTCACTACATTTCAACATTGTTTTGATCATTAACTACTGTTCTGCGCAGATAGACCATGGTGATATTTGAGTCTACTACCATTTCCAGATACCTTTCGGCTAGTTCAACACTATTTATTAAGTCAGCATGACACCCAATGTTTCCTCCACATGGCAAAACTTGCACGCACTAATTCAACTCTATTTGTTCTCTTTGCGAGGTGTTTCTGTATTTTTTAAACTTACTCTATTGACTTCACGATTGTCCCCAATCTACGGTAATTATGAACTCAATCAATTGACATGATTTCTGTGATTTAAGGTCATTGTCTATTGCCCTTTACTCGTGTAGAATATTGTCCAAACTTAACAAAGTAAGTTTACATAGAATTGCAAAGCATAGTGAGTCATAGAGTTATACAGCACAGGAACAGACCCTTTGGTCCAATTTGTCCATGCTGAACAGGTTTTCCAAACTAAACTAATCTCTCTTGCCTGTGTTTGGCCCATAACCCCCTAAACTTTTCCTTTTCATGCACTTATTGAAATGTCTTTTAAATGTTATAGCTGGACATGCATCAACTGCTCCTGGACACCACCCCAAGGCCTCCTACCCTCCCTCGACCTCTTCATCTCCAACTGCCGTCGAGACATCAATCGCCTCAACCTCTCCACTCCTCTCACCCACTCCAACCTCTCCCCCGCAGAACGTGCAGCCCTCCACTCCCTCCGCTCCAATCCCAACCTCACCATAAAACCCGTGGACAAGGGAGGCGCAGTTGTAGTATGGCACACTGACCTCTACATCGCTGAGGCCAGACGCCAACTCTCCGACACCTCCTCCTACCGCCCCCTTGATCATGACCCCACCCCTGAGCACCAAATCATCATCTCCCAAACCATCCACAACCTCATCACCTCAGGTGACCTCCCACCCACGGCCTCCAACCTCATCGTTCCCCAACCGGG